TTATTCGTATCGATATTCTAAGGTGACATGTGCTATTCGAGAATTTGTTGAGGTGTTTTCATGTCTTTTTCTAAATTTTTAAATTTTTCAGAATTTTTTTGATATTTGTTGGGCAGTCACGAAAAAATGTGCAATTTTGATATCCTATTCGAATCGATATTCTATGGTGACTGGTGCGATTCGAGAATTTTTTTAGGTGTATTTATGTCTTTATCTTGATTTTATATTTTTAGGACGTTTACGAATTAAAATTTTTGATATTTTTCAGGCAATCACGAAAAACTGTGAAATTTTGATATTTAATTTGTATCAATATTAAAAGATGACTGGTACAATTCGAGAATTTTTTGAGGTGGTTTTATGTCTTTATCTTGATTTTATATTTTTTGAGCAATCACGAAAAAATGTGAAATATTGATATTTAATTTGTATCGATATTATAAGGTGACTGGTGCGATTCAAAAATTTTTGAGGTGTTTTTATATCTTTTTCTTGATTTTTATATTTTTCGGACGTTTATGATTTAAATTTTTTGATAATTTTAAAGCTGTCACGAAAAAATATGTAATTTTTATATTGTATTCGTATCGATATTTTAAGGTGACACCTGTGATTCGAGAAATTTTTGAGGTGTTTTTATGTCTTTTTCTTGATTCTTAAATTTTTTAGACGTTTACAAATTAAAAATTTTGTTATTTTTCTCGCAGTCACAAAAAAATGTGAAATTTTGATATTTAATTCTTATCGATATTCTAAGATGAGTGGTGCGTTTTGGAAATTTTTTGAGATGTTTTTATGTCTTTTTCTTTATTTTTATAATTTTCGGACGTGTACAAATTAAATTTTTTGATATTTATCGGGCAGTCACAAAAAAATGTAATTTTTTGACATTTTATTCGTATTGATATCCTAAGGTAACTGGTCCTATTCGAATTTTTTTTTACGTATTTTTATTTCTTTTTCTTGATTTTTATATTTTTCGGACGTTTATGAATTAAAATTTTTAAAGTTTTTTGGACACTCATATAAAAATGTGAAATTTTGATATTCAATTCGTATCGATATTCTAAGGTGACTGGTGCGATACGGAAATTTTTTGAGGTGTTTTTATGTCTTTATCTTGATTTTTATATTTTCTGATCTTTACGAATTAAATTTTTTGATATTCTATTCGTATCGAGATTCTAAGGGTACGAGAGCGATTCCGAATTTTTTTGAGGTGTTTTTATGTCTTTTTCTTAATTTTTATACTTTTCGGACGTTTACGAATTAAATTTTTAGATAATTTTCGAGCAGTCACGAAAAAATGTGAAATTTTGACATTCTATTCGTATTGATATTCTAAGGTGATTGGTGCGATTCGGAAATTTTTTGAGGTGTTTTTATGTGTTTTTATTTCTTTTTCTTGATTTTTATATTTATCGGACGTTTACGAATTAAAATTATTTGATATTTTCCGGGCACTCACGAAAAAATGTAAAATTTCATATTTTATTCGTATCTATATTCTAAGGTGATTGGGGTGATTCGAGAATTTTTTGAGGTGTTTTTATGTGTTTTTATTTCTTTTTCTTGATTTTTATATTTTTCGGACGTTTACGAATTAAATTTTTTGATATTTTCAGGCAATCATAAAAAAATGTGAAATTTTGATACTTTATTATTATAGATATTCTAAGTTGACAGGTGCGATTCGGTAATTTTTTGAGGTGTTTTTATGTCTTTTACTTGATTTTTATATTTTTCAAAAAATTTTGAATGAAAATTTTTGATACTTTTCGGACAGTTGCGAAAAAATGTGAAATTTTGCTATTTTATTCATATCGATATTTTAAGGTGACAGGTGTGATTCTGGTATTTTTTTGAGGTGTTTTTATATCTTTTTCGTGAATTTTATATTTTCGAACGTTTATGAATTATAATTTTTGATAGTTTATCCGTATAGATATTCGTAGGTGACTGGTGTGATTCGAGAATTTTTTGAGGCGTTTTTATGTCTTTTTCTTGATTTCTATATTTTTTGGACGTTTACGAATTAAATTTTTCCATATTTTTCGGGCAGTCATGTAAAAATGTGAAATTTTGATATTTCATTCGTATCGATATTCTGAGGCGACACGTGCGACTCGTGAATTTTTTGAGGTGTTCTTATGTCTTTTTCTTGATTTTTATTTTTTTCGGACATTTCAAATTAAAATTTTTGATATTTTTCAAACAATCACGAAAAAATGTGAAATATTGATATTTTATTCGTATCAAAATTCTAAGGTGATATGTACGATTCGGGAATTTTTTGAGGTGTTTTTATGTGTTTTCCCTGAATTTTATATTTTTCGGACGTTTAAGAATTAAAAATTTTGACATTTTTCGGGCAGTCACGAAAAAATGTGAAATTTTTATATTTTATACGTATCGATATTGTAAGGTGACTGGTGCAATTCGAGAATTTTTGAGGTGTTTTTATGTCTTTTCTTGATTTTTATATCTTTCAGACGTTTACGCATTAAAATTTTTGATATTTTTCGGGCAGTCATGAAATATAGTGAAAATTTTATATTTTATTCGTATCGATATTCTAAGGTGACTGGTGCGATTCAGAATTTTTTGATGTGTTTTTATGTATTTTTCTTGATTTTTATATTTTTCGGACGTTTACAAATTAGAATTTTTGATATTTTTTGGGCAGTCACGAAAAATGTGAAATTTTGATATTTTATTCTTATCGATATTCTAAGTTGACAGGCGTAATTTGGGAATTTTAAAAGATGTTTTTATGTCTTTTTTGTGATTTTTATATTTTCGGACTACGAATTAAATTATTTGTTATTTTTCGGGAAGTCGTGAAAAAATATTAAATTTTGATATTTTTTCGTATCGATATTCTAAGGTGACTGGGGTGATTCATAAATTTTAAAGGTATTTTTATGTCTTTTTGTTGATTTTTATATTTTTTAGACGTTTACGAATTAAATTTTTTGATATTTTTCGAGCAGTCACAAAAAAATGCACAATTTTGATATTTTATTCGTATCGATATTCTAAGTTGACAGGTGCGATTCTTTGTTATTTTTCGGGAAGTCGTGAAAAAATATTAAATTTTGATATTTTTTCGTATCGATATTCTAAGGTGACTAGTGTGATTCGAGAATTTTTTGACGTGTTTTTATGTCTTTATCTTGATTTTTATATTTTTCAGACTTTTACAAATTAAATTTTTTGATATTTTTCGGGTAGTCACGAAAAACTGTGAAATTTTGATATTTTATTCATATCGATTATTTTAGGTGACAGGTGCTATTCGAGAATTTTTTGAGGTGTTTTTTGTCGTTTTTTAACTTTTATATTTTTCGAACGTTTACGAATTAAAATTTTTGATATTCTTTGGGCAGTCACGAAAAATGTTAAATTTTGATATTTTATTCGTATCAATATTCTAAGGTAAGTGGTGCGATTCGGGAATTTTTTGAGGTGTGTTTATGTCTTTTTCTTGAATTTTTATATTTTTTCGGACGTTTACGTATTAAATATTTTGATATTTTTCGGGCAATCATGAAAAATGGTAAAATTTTGATATTCTATTCGTATAGATATTTTAAGCCTACTGGTGCAATTCGGGAATTTTTTGAGGTGTTTTTAGTTTCTTTTTCTTAATTTTTATACTTTTCAGACATTTACGAATTAATTTTTTTGATATTTTTCGAGCAGTCACGAAAAATGTGAAATTTTGACATTTCATTCATTTAGATATTCTAAGGTGACTAGTGCGATTCAAAAAATTTTTGAGGTGTTTTTATGTTTTTTTCTTTATTTGTATATTTTTCGGACGTTTATGAATTATAATTTTTGATATTTTTCGGGCAGTCACGAAAAAATGTAAAATTTTGATATTTTATTCGTATCTATATTCTAAGGCTACAGGTGCGATTCGGGATTTTTTTGAGGTGTATTTATATCCTTTTCTTGATTTTATCTTTTTCTTGATTTTTATATTTTTCGAACGTTTACGAATTAAATTTTTGGTATTTTTCGGGCAGTCTTGAAAATGTAAAATTTTGACATGTTATTTGTATCGATATTCTAAGGCTACTGGTGCGATTCGGGAATATTTTGAGGTGTGTTTATGTCTTTTTCATGATTTTTATACTTTTCAGAAGTTTACGAATTAAAATTTTTGATATTTTTCTAGCAGTCACTAAAAAATGTGAAATTTTGACATTTTATTCTTTCAGATATTCTAAGGTGACTGGTGTGATTCAAGAATTTTTTGAGGTATTTTTATTCTTTATCTTGATTTTTATCTTTTTCGAACATTTACGAATTAAAATTTGTGATATTTTTCGAACAGTCACGAAAAATAGGAAATTTTGATATGTTATTCGTCGATATTCTAAGGTGACTGGCACTACAAGAAAAAAGGCATTTCCCAACAATTTTTCTTGTTGCTATATATAAGATGTTGTTGCAAAAAGTACTTTTGGCAACAATATAAAAGTTGTTGCAATAAACACTGATGCGAAAAAGTTTTGCAACAACAAAATATATTGATGCCAAAAACTAACTTATTGCAACCAAAATAATTGTTGCCCTACATTAATATAGTTGTGGCTTATAAAAATTTTCGCAACAAAATTTAATGTTGCCACAAATTAACTTTTTTACCAACAATATCAGTTGTTGTAAAAAATTGACAAAAAGTTAGTTAATAATCTGTTAGAAGGCTTTTAGCAACAATAATTTTTATTGCAAT